CACACATTCTATTCTTACTTTTATTGATAACTAAATGCATTCCCTTGGCGAGTAAATAAGTTAACGACGTTTCTCAAAATATTTACAGCTTATTTTTAAAGGTGAAGTCTCTCCTCTATTTAATGGGGCATCTTTAATACAACTTTTATAAATCACAAAATTTTTCATAAGAATTTCGAAAGGTTTGTGCTTAATAAATCCAACTGCTCTTAAATTTAGTTGGACAATTCCACTTGTAAAGAAAAGAATCGCAAACTGAAATCTAATCTCCTCCATATGGTGGTTATGCAATGGTAGCTTTCCAAAAGCTAGAGCAAAAATAGCATTCAGGTTCAATATATTTATACTATGTAGCCCCATAAAATGATCTCAGTAGGAAATAAATTTTTGGTTCCCTCATGTCATATAGCGGATGAAGAATAAAGAGTCGCCCTCATAGATGAGATCTCTCGAGAGCATTTTTAATTCAGGGCCAAACAATGGCCTTGCCTACACAGAAATAACGTTAGCATTGTAATTTTTCCCTTCTTGTCTTTATTTTCAGATGTATCCAGTCCACAAGATATCAATATTGCTTCTGCTTCTTCCACGGAGCAACTTATCGAACTGCAGCCCTCTGATGAGGCGGTTGCTCATATAGTAACATTTGTCTTGAAAGGGGCCCAGACGACTTCATACTCCCCTTTAAATACCCATATAAGAGCTCGTGCTCTCAGAATTACAGAAACTGTGAAAATATTGGTAGTTGATCTAGAACCATGCACAGAGTATATCTTTAGCGTTTACTCCGTAGCTGAAAATGGAGTTTCTAATAATCCAATAAAAGTCAAAGGAAAGACACGTAAGACACTTGTGATTGGCTCATTGAGTCTTGATTTTTAAGTATATAAACAATACCTTTTCAAATTTTATCTATATTTTTATTTTCTCGAAACCTATTCCTTCGACATATTTATGTTAATTTCATTTGTAATAACAAATTAATTTTGAATTGCCTATAATTCTCTTAGCAATGTACTGAATTTCTCCCTTTTATTTGTGGCTGAGTCCATTGGATAGGCATTGTGAGGATCTGATATTTGCGAAAAGAAAGCTTGCATAGAAAAGGTGGATTAACCGAGAGAATGATTGTCAGCAGGGCTTAGATTTTCCATCTAAAAGAAATAGTTTTTTTTCTTAAAACTGCCATTAAAATACTGCTAGAGCCAAGGGCACAAGTATTTCTTCTAAGCTGAACTTTTTAGTAAATTTAATGTGATTAGTTCTTTCATTCAAAGAAATAATGTACGGAAGAATTTCATTTCATATGAAAAGGCATGAAGAAGAGATTCGTAGTTCGATCTCACCAGATGAGACGGTTGAATCTAATTGTACTGCAGCCGTTTGGCTCTTGTAAGACGTTTAGGCTGGCGCAGTCCACAAAACTTCCTCCCTCGTTTCAGATGAAAATGGACTGAGTTTTCGTCCATCATATGATGGACATCCTTAGAACTGGAAGTCATTCTGGTATAAGTCTCAAGTTAACACTAGGGAAAAAAGCTGAACGTCGTATAAAAGCCAAACGGATGCAACACAACGGGATACAGCCGTCCTCTTCTGGTGAGA